GCACCATAGCTTCCTGGGGAAAATGCAGAGAGGGAGAGGAGGCAAAATAATAATGACTTTTAGTCAGTGGAAGGCATCCATGTCCAACAGCCTGTCAGGAAGCAAGACAGGTGGGCCTGGCTCACCACCTGTGCTGAGGGCTGGTACTGGGCTTTCATTAAAATTACTACAGAGAGTGGAGGAGAGGAAAGCCCAGTAGGCACAGTAGAACAGCTGGGCCATTTGTCTGGCCAGTACAAAGCTATGTTTTTTTTTTTTTTTTTCAAAATAAATCCACCATAGATAGCACCACGTTAAAAAAAAAAACCAACTTATGTGCACTAAGAAAGCATATGCTGAGATTTATAAATACATGTTATGTACTCTGTGTCTTCATTGCCAATATCTAGGATTTATGATGTCATGTTAAGGTTGCTTGTGCAATGGCCTAGAAAAGAGAACCAAAGTGACATTTTAGAACATCATCAAGAGGACAGGAGGATGTGGATATAAGTGGTCAGTACCCCTAGCACCATGTCGGTCACATTCTATCAGGGCTACCAGACAGCAAAGTTGCTGCAAAAGCAGGTCATGCTTCACAGAGGTAATGTGATTGGTGAGAATCCCCAGTTGGTTGTGAGTTACAACTGCATCATAAATCAAGTCATTCTCAGTCCTTTGCTCTATTTAGTGGGGACACAGTATCCTATTTGTTTCCCAGGGCTGCTGTAAGAAACGACTACAAACCCAGTAAGTGAAAATCTTCAGCATTTACCATATAGCTGTTCTAAGAGCTCTGAAGTCCCAAATCACTTTTGCTGGGCTAAAACCAAGATGTCATTGGGGCTGACTCCTTCAGAGGTTCCCAGCAGATCTATTTCTGTGTCTTTGCTTTGCCCCGAGGACACCTGCATTCCTTGGTGCATGTTCAATTCCAGGACCACTCCAACTTCTTGCTTTTATCCAACCATCTTCCACTGTAATCTTTTGAAAATTTTAAAAATTTTACTTATTTTGAATGGAGATGGCTAGATGGGGAGAGGGAGAGAGGGAAGAAGAGTGAGAGCAAGAGTGAGAAGGAGCGAGAGAGAGAGAGAAAGAGAGAGAGAAAGAAAGAGAGCAAGCAGCTTCTGTCTGCTGGTTCACTTTTTGAATATCCAAAATGGCTGAACAGGAGAAATTGGCATGTAAGCTGGGTCTCCTACATGGATGGGAATGATTCTACTTCAGCTGCGCTACTTCCTAGAGTTCAAATCATTTAAGAAAAGATCAGGAGGAGAGCCAGGACTTCAACCCAGACACTGCTGTATGGGATGCTATGCCTCCCTCTAAAATCAACCCACTGTTATCATTGGTCCCTGTCAGATGATCCAAATAATTTCCCACTTCAAGATAATTAAATTAAAAACACCTTTTTTCTGTCTGAAGTACTATATTCCAAAGTTCCAAAGAGTCATTCATGGTTATCTTTGGGAACAGTTGTTTCATCTGCCACATCACTCCACCTTTCTGTATCCTTTCTCTAGACTTTAGAAACCAAACAAAATAGAAGCCTTAAGGACTCAAACCATGAAGTCACAAGTAGGGAAGATGGAAGCAGTTCTCTCCACTTGATACAGAACTTTCACTTCTCTCTATTCTCCTGGCCCCTGGATAAGTGAAGGGGCCCCTGTTTTATAGGTTAGCAAAGGAGAGTTGAAGTACTTTGGTCAGTATAATGATTGAGTCTTAATACACTCCTGCTGGTGCTAAGTCGTATTGAGTAATGGTGTTTACCACAATGTTTCACGGTGCTTTGGTTCCAGATTTTCCTTATTCACAGAGCAGATGGTTTCATTTGTTCCTTCCTTCATGTTCTTCCCTTCTATCTCCATGGCAAGAGACATGAGAACATTTGCCCCAAGCCTACTTGTTTGTTTGACTTTGTATCCTCAGGGTGTGCCAGTAGACACAGAGTGCATGGTAAAGAAAACGTATTCATCATCTGAAAGATACTCTTTAATGAAGAAGCCAACTCACAGCAAGGAGGTACTTGTTACCAAAGGCAGGGCAGTAAGGAGACCTCATGAGACAGAAGGCCATCACCATGCAGAGTTTAGTCCTTTCTGTGCCAGCCACACAGGTTAAGCATGTCTCTCTCCAAAATTCATTCCTGGTGAGTGATTGGAAGAGTGAGTAAAAATATTTACAAATTGTATGACCTTTACCAATTTTCAAACATTCTGAAAACCTGACATTATATTTTATTAAAAATAAATATAGTAGGTACTCAATAAATGTTTGCAGAGTGTTAAGTGAATGAATGAATCATTGGTTGATTGCTTCCACCTGGAAAATAAATGAAGCATGTTTTTATTTGTTCATGTTTGCTCTATCTCCGTTCTGTGATTATTTAAAGAGTCATTTAACTTCTAAAGTTGGGCTAAGCAAACTTAGGACTATGACTAAAAGGGACTGGATTTGATTTGCTTAGGAGACAATATTGAGATAAGTATTTTTTCTAATCTAAGTATGGCCTTCAAGAATGTTTGAAATGAGTAATAAAGTTTCTTCAACCAATCCACTCTTTTCTTTTAGTATATTGTTTTATGACACAGTTTAATAGGCACTGGGGTTTCTCATCTCCCTCCCTAAGGTCCTTCCACTCCCCACTGATTTCCCCTCTGTTTTTTTTTTTAAAGATTTATTTATTTTTATTACAAAGTCAGATATACAGAGAGGAGGAGAAAAAGAGAGGAAGATCTTCTGTCCGATGGTTCACTCCCCAAGTGACCACAACAGCCGGTACTGCGTGGATCTGAAGCCAGGAACCAGGAACCTTTTCCGGGTCTCCCACATGGGTGCAGGGTCCCACAGCTTTGGGCCATCCTCAACTGCTTTCCCAGGCCACAAGCAGGGAGCTTGATGGGAAGTGGAGCTGCCGGGACTAGAACCAGCATCCATATGGATGTCTTTCCTGAACACTCATAAGTTCTTCATGCTGCCATTGAAGTGTCTCCTGACAGCGTAGGCATGAGCAGTGTTGGAGAGTCCAGCATCCTAGTGTGAGGACATCTTCAGCCGTTTCCCTGGGACTCCATCCTGATTCTCTATGCATAGAGACTTACTGCTCTATTTTTCCACCTCTGAACATGTCAGTTTCTGCTACACTTCTATTATCCATCCCCTTAAATACAGAGCCAGTGTACACAGTTCCACAACAGGGAGAAAAATAGTACTTTCATCAACATGAAGTTAATGAACATGAGACAAAAGTGTGTCACCAGAGTGGTGAAAAACAATATCAAGAGCCTTCGTGTAGGAATAGATGCTAGTGCATGATCCAAGTGGTACTAAAGAAATTACACTAAAAATTACAATTGTTTCTCTTGAGATATAACAGTGATAAAAGGGATAGTAACAATCTAAGGTGTTTACAAGCCATCAGTCTATTATGGATGATTGATTAATGAATTGCATCTAAGAACTTGTTGAGAAAGATACAAATATAACTTGGAAGTGCAAAAAGGAAAAGTTCACATAAAATGTAATTAGAATTACCACCCTAAAACTGAAGTTGAAGCAAGAGTCATTTTCTGAGAAGATGTGCAGAACATCGCATAGCCTTGTGAGCCCTGAGCAACACAAGGCACGGTCTCTTAAACTTAGATCTGAGTCTGTCTTCATTCCTTAGTAGAAATGCACTGCATTGATTTTCCTTGATTCCTGGTAGTCTGGTCTCTGTTACATCATTGAATTGTGGGGTTACATGTGTGTTTATTCTCTTTTTATTGTTGTTGTGTATTTTTGATGGATGTTATATGTATGATATCTGACCTTTTGGGATTGGCTCATTTCCCTTCGCATAATGGTCTCCAATTCAGCCTATTTGGCTGCAAATGATTGTATTTCAATCTTTTTAATATCCAAGTAGTATTCCATTGAATAGATGAACCACAGTTTCTTTATCCAGTCCTCTGTTCATGGACATCCAGGGGCTTCCATGTTTTTGCAATTATTGATTGTGCTGCAATGAATATAGTGGTGCACATTGCTTTCTCATGTATCAGGTCATTTGGATATATTCCTAGAAGTGGGATTTCTGGGTGTTGTTGTAGGTAAATTTTTCAATTGCCTGAGTATTCTCCTTACTGACTTCCATTGAGGCTCTACTACCTGTAATTCCTCCAGCAGTGGAGTGGGCTTCCTTTATCCCTAATCCTCACCTGCAGGTATTGTTGACAGTTTTCTGTATGTGGGCCATTCTCACTGGAGCTAAGTGCAACCTAAGTGCTGTGGTTACTAGAATTTCCCTTATTGCTAGGAAGCTTGAGCATTTTTTTGTATGCCTGTTAGCCTTTTGGATCTGTTCCTTTGAAAAGTGTCTCCCATATCCTTCATCCATTTCTTGACTGGCTTGTTATTGTTTTTCTGGAGTTCTTTGTATAATCTGGATACTAGCCCCCTATCTGTTGTGTAGTGTGCACAGATTTTCTCTGTTGGTTGCATTTTTACTTTGTTGATTATTTTCTTTGCTGTGCAGAAGCTTCTTAGTTTGATGTAGTTCCATTTGTTTATTTTGGTCTTGACTTCCTTTGCTTTTGATGATTTTTCTAGGACGTCAGTGCCTACACCTACATATTGCAGATCATTCCCTATTTTTTCTTCTAAATGTTTGATGGTTTCTGGGTGTAGATTTAGATCCTTTATCCATTTAGGTTTGATCTTTGTGTTTGGTGAAAGGTTGGAATCTTGTTTCTTAGTTCTGCAGGTTACTATCCAATTGTCCCAACAACACTTATTGAAGAGACCTTCTTTTTTCTCTCAGTCATTTTCTGTTTTCCTGTCAAAGATTTGATGGCTGTACACATGTTGGTTCCATTTTGGTGTTTCTGTTTTACTCCATTGATCTTCCTCTCTGTTTCTGTACCAGTATCAGGCTATTTTGATTACTGCCACCTTAAAATATGTCTGAAGTTCTGGAATTGTGATCCCTCCAGCTAGTTTCTTATTCTTAATGATCAACCAATACATTCTTTCAGTGACAAGCTTCATAGATCCTGGCTTCCTACGTAACACCTGTTTTTGAGATTGTGTTGCTGTTTTCACGAAGGTAAGTTGATACTCTGTGTGACATGTTTAGCACATGGCAAATGGGAAGTGTTCCAGTAAGCATCAGCAATAATTATTGGGGCATGTCAAAGCCTTTTGAAAACTACTATTCATTTTGATTGTTAGTTTTCATCGTACCTCTTTTCTGTTTAAATTGTCTTAGATTCTGAAGTTTCCAATTATTATTTTGGGGAATGAATAGACTTGTCTGTCAAAATTAGATACTTGGATATAAATGTTTCACTCCTATTCTAATGTCTCCGTAAATCTTTAATGCTCTTACTGCTTTCTAGTCACCATTCCAAAGCATCCCGTTTTGGATGTATCTTTCATGTATATGCCATTATCTTCTTATGAGTCCATAGTAAAACCATCTATAATCACACATTGTTTCGTTCCAGCACCCCCTACTCAATCACTGCTTAATAATTAACAAATCCAACTGATTAGGTAGAAGCATCATGACCATGACCCTGGATAACTGCCAGCTGGTTTAGGTTCTGGGCTTAGCAATACTGCTTACCAGCTGAGGATCTGTGGTTCAAAGAAGGCTGTGAATCCAGGGGGAAAGACTCAGTCCACAAGGAAATATTGGTATGTGCCTTCCAGAGGTTAAGCTTGGATAGAATTCTTTTATTCAGAGATGAAAGTAGATGTAATGATTTGTTTGTCTATATTGACTTTTTAACACCATATTTTCAGATTTCTTCTAAACATTTCTACTTCTTTGTGTGTACACATGGTAGGATTTGGAATTGGCAGCTGAAAACTTGCTTTCCCTGTTAGTTCATCCAATACATTGAATAAATGTGTCTTGGGAGTCTGCTTGTACTTTTGAAAATGAAAACATGGCACACTGCTGCTTTACCAAGTCTTCTAAGAGGCCACAAGATGGGGATGTTACTCCATAAACTTAGATCTTTTCATTCACTCTACAAATCAATATTGAATGCCTACTATGTACCTGGCATTGTGGTACACTTAAAAATTGCAGTGGCGAATAAAACAAACTGTTTTAATACAGTGTTCAAGAAGAAGGTCAGTGTTTAAACTGGATTTGGTGCTGTTAGCGTGGTGATGACACAAGTAAAAGGAGCCATAGGAATGCATGATAGGAACCCTAATCCCTATCTGGGGAGCATCTTGGAGGAGTTCATTGAAGGCTCCCTGGAGAAAAATGTATTTTGAGCAAGCATTTTGTAGGAACGGAGTTCTAATCTAAGCAGAAGAATGGCAGGTGGTGGGCAGGCTTGGTCATTTAAATGCCAAGTTTTCATTGATCTCTAAAGAGGCATAGGAATAGCGAGCAGTGAGAGGGGAAGCTGAGGCATACCTAGAGGTTCTTGCGGGCTACACACAATCCTTAAGAGAATGGTTGCTCTGGTAAGGGTGGGGGAACTTCTAGCCCAGTGGTCCATGGAATCATTTTGTCTGATCCTGACAAGGCAGCAACAGTTTGAACTCAAATTCGATAGATATATTCAGAATTCAATAGGGATGTAGTGCATATAGCTACAGGCTCATTTTTAACTTGGCAATTTTGTATGGACATTTGTGACATCATATGTATTCAAGTGATCCTTGAAACCACCTCTGTTTTTCTTTTTGTTCATGTAGAGGATCTTTTCTTACTCTTCTCTAGTAGACATGATCCCGACTCACCTCTGGAGTCTCAATGCACCTCTAGGAAATGTCCTCTGACCTGTCAAGGGTGGGATTCAGGGGGACTTGTGTCTCGGGGCACCATTGGGTAGTATATCACCCCAACTGATTACACATGGAGTGTTGTGAAGACCAAGACTTGGGTTGAGTCCACTCTCCCTGGCTTTCTACCTAATGGACATTGGGCAAGTTTCTCACCTTGCTTCCTAAGGCTAATAAAGCAGCCTTCTTGGGACTGAGGGGGGGTTGTGTAACCGCTTGTCAATGCCCCATATGACTTGATACGTAGAATATGTTTATTAAATATTGGTTTTTTTACTACAGTTACTGTGAATGTATTCTTCTGAGAAAGATTATCCTGGGTTGTAGCTTCTCAATCATGTGTTTCCCTTGAGAAAAAAAGACTGAATTTCATTTTACCTCAGGTTTAACCAGGGCTTTAGGTTCTTCTGGTTCTAACTGCTGCAAACATGCCTGCATCAAAGAAGTGCTCATCCAGTAGTTACTCACTGAATGAGCCCATGCACTGTGTTCATCAACATGAACTCTGACTATTTGAAATATTGTGCGTAGGAAGGCTCCTCTGTAATTTGTCCCACCAGGGAATGAACAGACGTGATCTCCACCAGGGAGCAAAGCACGCCTGCTTTAGGGCTGTACTTAAGTCTGTATTCTTCCAGGTTTCCACTGGCAATCCTCATTTAAATCAGTTTGTTGTTTTATGAAGCAAAATGAGCAGTTTTATGAACTCATTTACCTTAAAAACTCAATAAAAGCATTCACATATTTAGCCTAACACATTTCAAGACACTGAGTTGTGTATAAATTTAGTTTTACTTAAATGTTAAACTTTGCTACTTTACTAAATATTGAGGAGATGGTGAGCTGACCCTCTGAAAAGGTACACATTCCTTTGTAGTTGACAGAGCAATGGATTATAAATTAGATTCTATTTTTGATTTACCTTACATAACCATCATGATATGCTCTGGTGGCAATGAGGGGAGCATCCAATTTTCTTTTTACAAACTGCCTTTTTATTTCTGACTCTGGTTAGATTGGGATGGATTTCAAGTAAGGTTCTCTGAGCTCCCAAATCCCTCTATTTGCTGAACAAGTGAAATTCTGGCAAAATAGATTTATGTAAAAATAAATGCAGTAGATGATAATCAGGTGTTTCTCTTCAAGGTAGCAGTTACCTTGACTCTGCTTTTCTGGGGAGGCAACAAGATAATAGTTAATTCCTGAGTGCTTCACTGAATTAGCATGTTTGACATGAATGTACCAATTGGATTCATAAGGAATCTACGCAGTGGATGTTATTAGCCACATTTTACCTGGGGGGAGGGCCTCAAGTTTAGGAGATTGAATGACTCAGCCAAAGCCACGCATCATTAAGTAGTCAAGGCTGTTCCTGGAGCTCCCCTCTTAGCCGTTCTAATGTATTTGGCTGTTCTCAGGTCCACACTGTGGTAGGAAATTCAGTGCTTTTTGTTATTGTTTTGCATTAAGCACAGTGATTCAGTGAGTCATTCTTAGTAAAATCATTAGGTATTTCTTTTGTAAGAAGTCCTGAAAATAATAGATCTAAGATGTTATCCAAGAACAAAAGGTCCACAGACATAACCAGGAGCTATCTGAGACTGATGTGGAATCTGTATTAGGAATATGAACTTCATGGTTGAGAATATAAATGTTATAAAAGCCATAGCTTTTCCTGACTTATACTGTTTATTGTAACCTGCAAGCCCATCACACACACACACACACACACAGACACACACACAAAAAGAGAGAGAGACAGAGACAGAGAGAAATCCCTAGTTTGCTGGTTTATTCTCTGAATGGCCACACTGGCTTGGGCTGGTCCAGGCCAAAGCTAGAAACTCAAAATTCCATCCAGTTCTCCCATAAGGTAGTTGGGGGCTCACATATTTGGCCCATCATTTGCTTTCATCCAAGATGCATTAGTGGGGAGCTAGGTATGAAGTAGAATAGTCAAATCTTGAACCCTCATTTAGATATGGGATGTAAATGCAGCAAGCAGCAGCTTAACTTAATGGGCCATAATGTGGTTCCCTGTTGGAATTATTTTATTGTGGCATTAATACAAAATAGAAAGTTGAATCGTAACCTCTGTCCTCAAGAATATCAGGTGTGTGTTGTGATGATGTCTTAGTTGACTTCTCTTCGTCTTGGTTTTGTCATCTATAAATTGAGCATAACTCCTACCTCACTGAGCTATTAAGATTAGAAGAAATAATAAGAGGACACATCTAAGAGTTTGTGGGAAAATGAGATCATAATATAAGTTTTTTTTTGGTACAGAAAATTTTGAGAGGCAGTATTATGATACAATGGATTAGGCTACAACTTGGAGACACATATTCCAAGTTAGAGCATCCATTTGAGTCTTGCCTATTCTGTGCTTTGAATACAGATTTCTTTGTATATACCTGGGAGGCAACAGATGATGGCCCAAGCACTTGAGTCCCTGCTACCCACGTGGGAGAGACTCATATGCAGTTGCTAGCTCCTGTCTTCAGGTTGGCCCAGCCTTGGCTGTTGACGAAATTTGGGACGATAAATAATAGATGGAAGATAACTTTCTCTGTGTTATCACCTCTCACTGTGTCTTTCAAATAGAAAAAAATTAGCATCTATGCATTATTTACATGTTTTTCATAAACTTTCTGAAGGCCCACTATATGCAAAACTCTTGGAATGATGCCTATACTAAAAAAAGGTATGCAACCAATAGTAACTAAATTCCTTGTACTGTTGTTATATAATATTACTGTTTCTTTTCCCATTTGATTTTACATTTATATATATGTATGTATGTACAAATCATCTTGCCATAATGATTGTTATATTGCAAGCAAGCAGAAATAGTTTTAAATGAAGGAATTAAAATCGTATCCAGTAGTTACAAATTCTCATTGACTAGATTGGTAGGGAGAAACCTATTAGAATTTTGATGATGATGATTTTCTGTTTGACTAAAATTTAGACTCCCAAAGCAGCCCTTAGGCTCACCTGTGTTCTTCCTTTAAACTGAGTTTTAGCAAAGAACCACTCCAAATCAACTTAGCAAGAATTGCTCATCCTGGATTTCTGATCAAGTTTCTGTATCCTTTGCCACCCTCACATTCCCAAATGTAAATCCTGTGGTGGTGTCTGATTACTCTGGTTTTCCTTTAAGAAGAATTTTAGTTTAGCAAGAATGTCTCCCTTACATCAGATATTTCCTTTTACTAGCTTTCTCTCTGCTGATCCCACCCAGCTTCTCAGCCATCAGCTTCTACTTGCCCACATCCCATTCAAAGTG